ATCGAGGGCAGAGGTCAATCCCGGCAGAACCGACCTAATTACACTGTGAGCTTTACGTTTTTTCATTCCTTGACAATGAGCTCGCGGGAGAGTTCGAAACTTCGGACAAATACACGCCTGGTCCCAGAGAACGTCTTAACTTCTTCTTATCACAGTAAATATGACATCATTTTTATTAAAACATGTATCATTTCAGTGTTTTAAAAGCTGTAATACGTATAAGACAAAATTATTCAGCTATACACAATACGCATATTTGTGCGTAGTATATGAAAATGGTGCTAGCATAAATAAATTCAACAACGTTTATTCAGCACCTAAGAGAATAGAAAGACTTCATGTGGTATAACTTTAGACGAACTGTTTAGAAGAATGTAGGAGGATTCCTGAGGGATTAATATATACAAAAATCGCCGTATAAAAATACGACTTTCAAATTCACTGAGTTTGGCTTTTCACCTGGAGTTTTGGGACGCAATCCGGCGATTGGGGAGAGACCAATCATTGCTCAAACAAATAATTGTAATAATTTGCGAAAAGTGCTTCTTCTCAGCAACCCTTGCTCAGTCGTTAGGTAATGGTCAAATAGAACAAGAAATATAAACAGCCAATCTTCATAGACAAACCTAAGCTGTATTACAGGAAATATTGTTATCATTTACGAATACTGGATGATTGTGTATCCCTTCTTCTTCGCCTTCTCTCAAACACTTCGGGCACTTGCTAGGGAACACATACCTACTGGCCAACAAATGGTTTGCTATAAATATGCTACTTACTTAAGACAATAAATAGGTTTATTATATAGGTCACAGGCGGGTTTGCCAATACAAGGGCGATGCGCTTTGATCGGCTCGACAATAGGAAACGTTTAACCCTCGTGAGGCCTCAATCTATTCGCAGAAGGCGAATAAAAGTATTGTTCCAGTGATCGAGTCATCTTCTTCTCACAGGTGGGTTTTTCAAACACGCAACACATTATTCTCGAAAGCCAAGGGCAGGGAGAAATTTCACTTGAAAGGAATCAGCATGGTACTTACTTGGACGCGGCCTCCTTTGAGGGAGTAATTAGGGTGGTAAGGATTGCAAACAGTTGTGACAAGTAGCCGCCGGTCTCAAAGTCTGCGCCCAGCGATTGTGCCATTAGGCCCAGGGTCACCAGCGCATAGGCCTTTTCACGATCTCGGTAGACGCACTCGAACAGGAAATTCATCAGGGTTGGAATCAGACTGAAAAGAACACACATAGAAGGCGATTATACACACACAAAGACGCCTCTACTCAGGGTAAGAGGTTCAAGGAGCCAGACAATGGGAATGTAAACGCTGCCTCGAATGAGTAGTGACATCTACGTATTCAACGCAGAATCCTCCGAGGATAATCGTTAAGTAATATTAAAATAGCTACTAGAAGGATGACAAACTATTAAGCAGTCGCGAATTGACAGATAAAGGTATCAGCAATCCGAAGATGGATTTTTGCGCCTCTTCCTTCGGACGTATCAGGAGGCGGATAATGAGTTTGATGAATTTACTAAGCAGAAGCTTGACACAGAACGAAAACCCTGCCCCATAGAACAGAGCTACTCAAAGAATATTGGGTCGGAACGAAAAGGCCCCCTTTATTCGCTCTCGAGAGAATTAATTTAAAAAAAAGATACGACCGAAGTTCTGAAAAAGCGCAACTAAAAATGAGGTTTTGCCAAGACCATTTGAAAAAATCTAATTTTCAGTAAGCACTTGAATGAAACTCAAATGCGTACATGGCATAAGTAGCAGTTTTCGAAAATAAATTATAGGCGGCTGAGTAGGAACCTTCAATTTTAGAGCAGGCAGCCGTAATATGCGAAGTGCACCTAAATAATACCATACAGTAATTACTAATGTAAACACGTTCAGGCGTTCGACCATCGGTTTCGACTATGTCCTGCGTGTGTTTCAGCAAGCCGAAGGCAAATGTGG